ATCCCACCCCACCTATCTAGTCGGTTAGGACCACTCTAGGCATGGCTCCTACCCAAACCATTTTTGTCTCTAGTTAGGCTGAAGGTGAAAACTGATCCTCTTGGGTTTCAGGGCTCATACGCTGGCAGAAAGGTCCAGATTCCTTCCTATTTGCTGTTTTTCTGCTTGAAATTCTTCCCTGCCCCTAAGCAACTTCTAAGCTATGGGTTGCTGCATCTAGTCGGTTAGGACCACTCTAGGCATGGCTCCTACCCAAACCATTTTTGTCTCTAGTTAGGCTGAAGGTGAAAACTGATCCTCTTGGGTTTCAGGGCTCATACGCTGGCAGAAAGGTCCAGATTCCTTCCTATTTGCTGTTTTTCTGCTTGAAATTCTTCCCTGCCCCTAAGCAACTTCTAAGCTATGGGTTGCTGCTGGTAATGTGTAATTTGGCCCTCGTCTGCTCACCTGTTTGGTTTATAATTACTTTATTCCTTCTAGTGTCTTGCCAAGGAAAATGAAGCAGGCAGGAGGAAATACGAGTGAGAGATTGGACATTTACCGCTTTTCAAAAATGGCACATGCAATTAAAAGGTCTCTGTGCTAAATGGAAACACTTCCTGAAATTTAAAAGGGGCACATAGTTTCCATTTACTGCTTAATTCTCATTCTCGGACATAAATGTTTTTCTTCCTTGACAGATGTGTTTAAATTTAGGACCATTTCTTTTCTATTGCCGATCCCGTCCCCATTTGTGTTGAATTCAACAGTCTCCTTCACAGAGGTGGTCAGATGCTCTAAAGGCCTTCTCCCCATCGATGCGTTTGCAGGCATTTGTTTGTAAGTAGCAAGACTGGGGAGGGAGAGAGAGCGGGGAGGTGTAATCCAGCTGTTGTCAGGAAGAGAAAAAAAAACCCTGTGCTTTCCAGGAACAACTCTTCCTCCGCCTAATGAATTTCTCTTTTTCTCCCAGGTTTCTCAGTGTTTTCTTCATCATTTTGCCAGTCGTTGGAACTATTTACAGCGCCAGAGTGTGGAAGAAAGCTAGGCACAATGAATCCCCACCAAATAGACTGACCCCTGAAAATTATGGAAGCACCTCCTCTAGTCAAAAAGATCTGAGTACATCAGAAGCAGAGAGAAAACATAGCAATGAATCTGTATCACCACTGCTGAACGTGTCTGAAAAATCGCAGAAAGGTGTTGTTGTTTTCTTTGTACTCGTAGTGGCCTTACTAAAAAAAAAATTGCTTTTATAGCACCAACAATACCTCTGATGAATTATAGAATAAGCAGCAACAAGAAGAAGGCAAGATGTAAAGGAAAACATGAATCTTGAACCCTTCATGCAGACAAAATGTCCCTTGCTTTATAATAGCCTACGTCATGTTTGGATAGCGATGGGAGAACTGTGGTTCACCAGGTATAGTTGGAATACAAGGTTGGGGACCACTGGCCTACATCATGTTTGGATAGCGATGGGAGAATTGTGGCTCACCAGGTATAGTTGGAAAGCATCTCCCATCAGCCCTAGCTACCACAGCCAATGGTAAAGAATATTGGAAAATCCAGAACAGATCTATGCATCCCCCAGAACTCTGCAGGTTGTCCACCCCAGCTTAAAAGCTGGCAGATACCACTGTGTTGGCATTAATTCAATAGTAAACTAAATTCCTCTAGCTGTCTCCTGGGCATTTAATAACATCAACAAATATTTGTGCAGCTATCTTCTTATGAAGTAAGGAGACAAATGGAAAACCAATGTGTGGTGTTAAGACTTTCGGCCGTTCACGCTGGATCTACAACACCCACCCAAGAAGATTTGCTGCCAGAGGCAAAGGACAAAATGTACCAGCCACATTTCGGAACCAACCAGAGTAGCAGATGACTTTTCTTTCAGCGCTGGTGAGAGGATGGTGCTCTCCGTTGCAGCTAAAGACAGCAAGCTAGTTTTAAGGGACGCAGGATACACTCCCTGGCACAGTCAGCCCTGCCCTCCTGCAGAAGGGAAAGGGGCAGAGGGCTATTGTTATGTTTCTCCCCAGCCTCTGCTGCACAAGGGAGCTGCTTCACTCTGCCTAATGGTTGGGCCAGCCCTGCATCCTTGAGCAGCTGGCAAGGAAACATGCTTCCATTCAGAAATCCTAGCATGCTCCTATGTCAGGGGCATTGTGTGAAAGCAAAATGGCAGCCAGGTTCCACAACCTAGCATTGTTGGGAGCTTAACCAGTTCTGCTCACTGCCACCAGCTAAGTGTGCCAAGGGCTCCTCGGAGAGGAGAGAGCATTTTGCCTTGGGCACCCTCAAATCTAGACTCATGTTTCTGCCACTGCAACTTTTATAGCTTTATCTCTTGCAAGTAGAGAAGGTATAATCATGTTTGCAGAAGTGACTATGTCCCTCAAATCTAGACTCATGTTTCGGCCACTGCAACTTTTATAGCTTTATCTCTTGCAAGTGGAGAAAATAAAACCACGCTTGGAGAGCTGACTATGTCCCTCTAAAGGGCAATAGAAGTAGTGTTGAATTTTTCGGATGTCCTGATGGGTTCTGCTTTTTGCTTGCTCTTTTGCGTCATCACTTGTAAACAGACGCTTTTAGGTTTGACTTCATTTCCTCCCATATGTCTCTTCCTGTCACTTAATCATGTAGCTAGTGACAGCAGACTCCATTTTCCCTCCGTCTCAGGTATACCGTCCTTCTTCCTCACTGGAGGTAATTTTCCATACAGACTAACATTATCTGCTTCTTGGTTTGTTTGTTTTTCGGTTTGTTTGTTTGTTTGTTTTGATGTTTAGTGATGCTGGATTTATTTTTATTTTTGCTGTTGTGTCATGCTTCTCTTCCTTTTCTGCTAAAAATTTACAAGTCAAGTCTGGTGAGGCAGATACTGTAGAGAACAACAAACAAAAACAACAAACATCACCTAAAAGGAATTGTTTAGCAATTTGATTACAATCCTCACATAATGGCCGTGTTTCATTTCATTTTATTCAAGTCTTTGTACATAATGAAAAGGTTGCCCTTTACATGACAGGCGCTTGAGAAATAATTTAAATAAATAAACAAATGCTAGCTGATTTCTCATGAATTCCAAAATTAATTCAGATTAATTCAGCCCTTCAGGAGTCTCTTTTCTCTTTGTGTGATAATAACATGCATCATATTTGCTCTAATGAATAAATTATAACGAATGCTTGGTATTTTGATATCCTTCAGGTATCTTGGACAACATCTTGAAATGTTTTTCTTTGGGAAGAAATCTTCCAACCATTTGGCCGACAAAACTTTCCCGAGAAGTCTCTGTGGCTTTAAATGGTATCAAAGCACTGAGTCTTTTGTGGATAATTTCTGGGCACACAAGCCAAATGACAGCATGGCAGAATTTAGGTATGAGGTTAAGTCACCAATGCAGTTATATTTCTGATTGAAAGAAAATCCAATACATCCTTTATGCACTCACTTATCAACTGAATTGCTGTTTTATCCCACATTTGTCACTTGGGGTTATGGTCTGTGGACTATGGCTTTGCACAAAAAAGCTCAGTCTCTTTTATGGAATATAATCAGTTGTGAGCTTATTATGTCAAGACAACAATTGTAAACAGCCGTAAATTGTAAACAACTATAATGGAGAGATCTTGCTTCATATTCATATTATTAGTGCAACGTATTTTATTTCTTTCTTGGGTCTTTTTAAAATGGGGTGTGTGGGGGAAACTTCTGCTAAAAGGTTGCAGCTGCATTCAGTTCCAGTGGCATGCATACACTCCTGGCAGGAAGTGGCAGCTGCCAGCAGGCGGGGTAAAACCTTATTCTGCCCTTTCGCTTAGAGATAGAGCATAAGATCAAAAGGTTATTTCAGCCAGTCCTAATTATGATTAGATAACTAATATCCTATCTGTCTCTCTCACAACATACTATGTAAATCATGCTAAGTAAATACAGTAAAAGAGCTCTCAGGGCGTTGCCTGTAGGCTCCGGTGGTTCAGACATCCGTTGTGGACTCCTTTGTTCTTTCTCTAAGGCAATTAGCCTTCCTTTGTTCCGTGAGCACCCACAGGGGTGGAAGTCAAGGTTGTGGTAGAAAATAGTGGTGAGGTTTGAATTTAAAAGAGGGGCTTTTCAGTGGCTGCCCCTAAATTGCAAATTCCCTGTCCAAAGATACACCTTAGGCACTTTGCTCACACTGACGGCCTTCCACCACAGAACAAAAATCCTTTTTAGGATAGGTCTTAGATTACTCTTTCTCCCTACTTGTTTGGGTGACTTTTCCTCTGCTCCTTCTCTTTTTCTAGTTTGCTTTCCATTGTCAGTTGGCACAATCTCTTTAGAACTGTGGTTCCCAACCTCAGTTCCCCAGATTTCTTGGACTACACCAGCACAGCAATAACGGGGAACGTTTCTGAGAGTTTTAGTCCAAGAACATCTGGTGACCCAAGGTTCGGAAGCACTGCTTAAGAAAGATGGTATATACATATTTTAAACAAAAATGTTGAACAGCTTTTTTTAAACATACATACTCATTGGAATCTTGGAAATGTTATCATTTTGGACTACAACTCTCACAGCCCACTTCCTACTATAGGAACTTTGTTCTTTCTCTAAGGCAATTAGCCTTCCTTTGTTCCGTGAGCACCCACAGGGGTGGAAGTCAAGGTTGTGGTAGAAAATAGTGGTGAGGTTTGAATTTAAAAGAGGGGCTTTTCAGTGGCTGCCCCTAAATTGCAAATTCCCTGTCCAAAGATACACCTTAGGCACTTTGCTCACACTGACGGCCTTCCACCACAGAACAAAAATCCTTTTTAGGATAGGTCTTAGATTACTCTTTCTCCCTACTTGTTTGGGTGACTTTTCCTCTGCTCCTTCTCTTTTTCTAGTTTGCTTTCCATTGTCAGTTGGCACAATCTCTTTAGAACTGTGGTTCCCAACCTCAGTTCCCCAGATTTCTTGGACTACACCAGCACAGCAATAGCGGGGAACATTTCTGAGAGTTTTAGTCCAAGAACATCTGGTGACCCAAGGTTCGGAAGCACTGCTTAAGAAAGATGGTATGTACATATTTTCAACAAAAATGTTTTTTTTAAACATACATACTCAATGGAATCTTGGAAATGTTATCATTTTGGACTACAACTCTCACAGTCCACTTCCTCTTATAGGAACCTATAGATGGTTTTGGCTTGTTGCTCTCTTGTTTGTTTCTTTTCTCCTTCATATATGTGCCTACACACCTGGATTGCCTCTTCCCTGCAATGAGAAAGGAAGGATAGAGTTATGTTCTAGTAGCAATTCTAGAAGACTTCCCATAAAGCAAGGGTTGGAAACCTGAGGCCATAATACTGTGTGTGAACCTAAGCGACACTTTCAATAACTTCCCTCAAGTGTTCAGTCAAGGGCTCTGGCCAGAGTGATCCCTAGCTGCCTGCTCTATGGATGGGGGATGGTGAAAGAGAGAAAGAAAATGGATGGCAAACATAGAGGGAATGTGTGTGGCCGTATCCGCCATTCATTTTGACCTTAACCACTGCTGTCACACAGCCAGTACTGGATGGGACATTTATTGTATACAACGTACATCATTTCATGAAATGTTGTGTCTCCAGCAGTGAGCCATGATCCTAGAAAGAGTGCGTATGGAGAATCCTAAATTGACAAACCTGTTGATCTGTGAATAGCTTTTCTTAACTGAGGTGATGGCATGGTGATCTAGTCAAAGGAGGGGTTTGTGCTGGGTCATGCATCCGTTTCCCCCCCATGCCAAGGAGAGAGGTTGCTGTTATCCTCCATTTCCCCAACCAGCTTCAATGTAGGGATGCTAGGCTGTCAAGACCCTGACTTGCCCGTGGGAAGGAGGGCCATCCATCTGTGTGGCACCTGGCCTCAATGACCACATTGAGGTGGACTGGGGAGAGGGCTCCCCAGTATAGGAGGGTGTCTGTTTCCTTTTGGTATATTGTGTCATGCTTGCCCAACTATAGTTGAAACCTGCTTGTTTAGTGTAGTACATTGCACTACAGTAGGCCTTTTGTATTTATTAGTTGGGATTTAGTGAGCCAACTTCTCTGTATGTTCCACTGATTCAAATGGGTCTTCTCTAGTTGTGACTTACTATGCTAAGTGAAAGGATTTCAGCCAATAAATCTTCCAAGGTACAAGAGGCTTTCTGTCTTCATCAACATTCAAAAGAACATAAGGTCATGGGGGTTCTGGATGATCTAAAACTTATAATTAGCACATAGATTATCTATGACAGAAAATGGACCTGAACCAGGGGAGGAGAGAGGAGGAAGTTTGCCACGTTCTCTGCATGATAGTGGCCCTGGGTACATTTGCCAATATATCCAGGAAACAATCCTCTCTAAACCTCTTGAGAGCTTTTAAGCGTCTGACTCTTCGTGACTCCATGGACCAGAGCCCGCCAGGCCCTCCTGTCTTCCACTGCCTCTCGGAGTTTGGTCAAATTCATGTTGGTAGCTTCGGTGACCCTGTCCAACCATCTCATCCTCTGTCGTCCCCTTCTCCTCTTGCCTTCACACTTTCCCAACATCAGGGTCTTTTCCAGGGAGTCTTCTCTTCTCATGAGATGGCCAATTTAACCACTGCGCCATGAGGCTCCTGTCTCGTGTTGTTGTTTAATTATTAAGTCGTGTCTGACTCTTCATGACTCCATGGACCAGAGCCCGCCAGGCCCCCCTGTCTTCCACTGCCTCTCGGAGTTTGGTCAAATTCATGTTGGTAGCTTCGGTGACTCAGTCCAACCATCTCGTCCTCTGTCGTCCCCTTCTCCTCCTGCCTTCACACTTTCCCAACATCAGGGTATTTTCCAGGGAGTCTTCTCTTCTCATGAGATGGCCAAAGTATTGGAGCCTCAGCTTCAGGATCTGTCCTTCCAGTGAGCACTCAGGGTTGATTTCTTTCAAAATGGATAGGTTTGTTCTCTTTGCAGTCCAGGGGACTCTCAAGAGTCTCTTCCAGCACCACAATTCAAA